GAGCCTATAGTGCATGACTGTTAACCCCAGAGGAAGAAGCTGAGGCTGGTTTAGAATCTGGGCTTAAACCCTGGGCTATCTGCTGGCAAAACCCATAACACTGGATGAATCATTTTCATTGTATACTTTTTCAGTTTTCAGTAATAGTGTTTTTTTGAGGATGGTTTTTAATTTACAGAACAGTTGAGGTGAAAGTGTCGAGAGCTCCATACAGCCACGCCGCCATAGATACACAGTGCCCCATATCACTAACATGGGTTAGTAATGTGATAAGTTTGGTACAGTTGATGAATCAGTATGAACACATCATTATTATATTAATACATTACCAAAGTTCATAGTTTCCATTAGGGTTCACTCTGGTGTTACACATTTACAGGTCTATTTGTCTTGGCTCTGCTGGGTCTTCACTGCTGTGCGTGGGCTTTCTCTGACTGCGGCAGGAAGGGGCTACTCCACAGGTGCGCTGAGCACGTGGGCTCAGAGGTTGCAGCGCATAGGCTTAGTAGCTCTGAGGCACATGGGATCTTCCTGGACCGGGGATCAGACCCATGTCTTCTGCATTGGCAGGCGGATTCCCAAACTGTGAACCACTAGGGACTTCCCTATATGGTGATTAAAAAAAAAATTCATTTATTTGGCTGTGCTGGATCTTAGTTGCAGCATGCAAACTCTTAGTTGTTGTATGTGGGATCTAGTTCCCTGGCCAGGGATCGAACCTGGCCCCCTGCCTTGGGATCACAGAGCCACTGGACCACCAGGTAATACCCACTTATATGGTGACTGACACTCTGTACAAATATAAGCGATGTGTTCTTCAGCCCTTGTATCTAATAACTGGTACCAGTTTTACCGAGTAGAGAATGGTTCTTCATATAGCTGTACCTCCTCAGGCAAATGCCCAGTTAGCCCAGGCCCTGTAGGAACAATTCCATAAAGGGCCTGGGAGTCCTTTCCCTCAAGGCGTGGCTCAGACCTCCTGCAAGAACTGTTCCCCAGGCCCTTTCAGGCATGTGAACCTCCATTAAAAAGACCCCTCAGAGGTCACCTTCCTTCATTACAGGACTTAGAGGAACAGTTGATGTCCTGGCTTCTGCCTCCAGCTCATCTTGCACAACAGTGCTCCCTGAGTGTGTTCACCAGGTTACTCCCCTGCTCACAACCTGTGCTGGCTCTGTGATGCCTGGCACACCAAGAGGTGTGTGGCATTGAAGGCCTTCTGTAGTCTAGTGTTGTCCTGCCTGTCCAGCGTGGACTCCTGTGATACCCTGATGCTGCTCCTCAGCTCTGGACAAAGGACCTTCTCTGCTGTCCTGAGCACTTGCCCTGTAGCCTCATCTCCATTCCTTGCTCACTTTATCCCCACTTCTCCCTCCTCAGTAACGTCTCTTGTCCCCGTTTTCCACCCTTCATCCTCTGGCTTAAGTCTCCTTCTCCCTGCCATGAAGCCTACTTGGACCACTTCGGCTGAATTTGATCCATCCTTTTTCAAGCTCTTATTACATTTACCGTCCACACCATAAAGACTAGCCTTGAATCATTCTGTATGTGTTCTCTGGGCCTGCCTCCCAAGATCACCAACTAGCCTGTGATCTCCATAAGATCAAAGAGCTGAATCCCCAAACATAGGCTGAAACCAGCCTACAGTGGTTCTGGACTTATAGTGCCTTGCTTACTGGCCATTAACAGCAAGACATTGCATATGGAAATAGTCTGTAATTCTCAGGTAAGATAGCAAATGCTCAATAGGGCTCTTAGTGTTACCATATTCCACTGATTCTAAAACACACCTTTCTCCCACTGCCTGCATTTTAACATCTCCTCTGAAATCAGGATCAATGGCAAATCACAATTTAACTGACAGTTTTTTTTTCTTTCTCAGTGCCACATACAAGGAGATGAGGTGTTAATGGTTGATGTGAGAATGTGTTTCTGGAATGGACCTGCTGATAAAGTTTCTGGGAGAAATGAGGGGATTCTAGGAAAGATAAAGGAAACTGGGTGAAGAGAGGATGCTGAGGGAGATGACAGATGCTGGGAGAAGTGGGGGATACTAGAACAGGATGGGAGGGTACCCTATTGAGCCCAGAAGCTTCCCGAATCACTCTGAGTTGATTCAGGTATTCCTTCTTTTCATGTTCCTATCCTCTGTGCATATGCTACTTCAGAGGCTGATTCCCAGAGGCAACCTCTGGGTCCCTCTCTGAAGTTGCAGGGTGCTCAGATTACCCCTCCAGCTTCAGATTCTTTGGGGCTTCATCTCATATGCTGGACCTCCCTTATCTTCACAGTCATATCCTAGCTGCATAAAGCTGCTGGGTGGAAGAATGTGTGGTCTTTTGCCTTCAGACTGCTGTTTAATGTTGAGTTAGCAGCAAGGGCTTTGGGGTGAGACATATTCAGATTTAATACTTGCTGTCCCATTTGCTAGCTGTGTGATTTTTGGCAGCTTGTAAAACTTTCTGAGCTTTGGTTTCTTCATCTTTAAAGTGAGGGTGAGAGAATTCCCTGGAGGGAACTGGAGGTCCAGTGGTTAGGACTCTGCACTCTCACTGTGGAGGGTGCAGGTTCAGTCCCTGGTCAGGGATCTTAATCCTGCAAGTCGCAAGGCACAGCCAAAAAAAAAAGAGGGTGAGAATTTCTAACTCTGGTATTGATGTGCATGCGCAGAGGTGGAAAGGAGATTAGATGACATAAAGTGATTCGCATTAGCTTTTATTATGCTGCTGCTGATCTTCATTGTCTTTTAGTCTTTTTATTCAAGCTGAGGTAGCCCTTTCAGCCCCTGAGGTAGCTTCTTCTCATGGACACTGCCTACATTATCAACCCAGATTTTATGGGCCCCAAACACCCCTGAAGCAGAGGGAGCACCGTCTCCCTGGCCATCCCCAGTGCTGACTGGGAGCCCTGACTCTTTTCCCCTCTTTCTGTTAGTTTCCTGAGTACCCGGCTGTTGCATGCTGATTAGCAGAGCTCTAGTTTCATTAGAAAAATAAAGAAAAAGGCCGTGTAAGGTTATAGATAAAACCAACATAAGGAAAAAGAAGTGTAAGTGAGGCTACTTTTCAATCACATGTAAGCTTTGATAGTTTTTCAAGGAAACTACAAAAAGACCCAGAAATTCAGGATACAAAACCATCAGCACATTTTTTAATGCATAGCTGAGCTGCATGGACGGCCCCTGGGCAAGACAGTGAAGGAAGCTGGGAGGGAGCATGGGCCTTCCCAAAGGGCCCTTCACTGGTCTGGATAACCCAAGGAAGCAGACTGGAATAGCCATAGAGACTAGGGCCAAAGTTTTTAGCCTACATGAAGCATGGAGGTAGAAATAAGAGCCCCACATACAGCTGAGACTCTCCAGGATTTAAACCTCTTTTAAGTGAAGTAAGGCCAGAAAAAAATTCAACCACTAAGGCAGAGGAGGAAGCTTTTCTAACCCAGACTGGGTCGGGTTGGAGACGAGGAAGGCCTCTTCTTAGAAATGTATAATCACACATCTGCCCTCTTTTGGATTTGGGATTAAATTTACACTACTCATGTGATCCTAGAGTCTCGAGGCCAGGAAGTGATCATAAAAACTACTCCCGGCTGGAAAATTCATAGAGAAAGAAAGTAGAATGCTGGTGGCCAGGATGTGGCCTGTGCGGAGGAGGCGGGAGGAAAGGGAGCTGTTGAATGGATATAGAGTTTCTGTTTTGCAACATGAAGAGTCCTGGAGATTGTACAACAACATGAAAATATTTAGCACTCTTGAACTGTATGCTAAATTTTATGTTATGTATATTTTACCACAATTAAAAAAACTGAAAAAAAAAGATTTAGAGGGATTTCCCTTAAGGATTTTATTATTGACTGAGAAAAGTAAGAAATGGAGATGGGTGTTAATATGATCCCCTTTTGGCAAAGTGACTCCAAATAAAGCCAAACTTGACCCCAAACCCCACATTTGTATTTGCCTGTGTATTTCTGTATACAGGAGCATGAAGAAGGTAGTGAAGGCTTCCCATCAGGGTTGCTTGTGTAGGGCTGCAGATGAAGAAAGAAAAAGAAAAGAAAAAGGAAGATTTTGGTGCAACTGAAAATATCTACAATACCTAATCTTCACTCTGTCTGCTCTGATCCTGTTTATGAAAGAGGATATTTAATTGTGCGTGCTCACCTCCATGGGATAAAAATCAGACTGCTGACTTACAGATATGCCCTCTGTGGCAATGGAAAAGAAAACAAATTATACAGATCTGGTGATCTTATTTTATTTACACAAATAAGCAAATGCCCTTTCTATGTGTATACACACCCTCATGTATTGGCGTGAGCATGGAAAAGATGTGGAAAGACAGGTGTCGGCAACTGACGCAAAGCCAGACACTGATGGGACATAAAGCCGGGAACGTGACGGAAAGCCAGTGCACCTGATGGAAAGGCAGGGCACGTGATGGAAAGGCAGGGCACGTGACGGAAAGGCAGGGAGCATGAGGGAAAGCCAGGACACGTGACAGAAAGCTGGGAACGTGACGGAAAGCCAGTGCACCTGATGGAAAGACAGGGCACGTGACGGAAAGGCGGGGAACATGAGGGAAAGCCAGGCACGTGACAGAAAGCCAGAATGTGAGGGAAAGCCAGTGCACCTGATGGAAAGCCAGTGCACCTGATGGAAAGGCAGGGAACATGAGGGAAAGCCGGGAACGTGACAGAAAGCCGGGAACGTGACGGAAAGCCAGGGCACGTGACGGAAAGCCGGGAACGTGACAGAAAGCCGGGAACGTGACGGAAAGCCAGGGCACGTGACAGAAAGCCAGGGACCGTGAAGTAATGGCAGGGAATGTGACACGAAGCCGGACACGTGATGTGAACCCAGGGAACGTGACGGACAGCCTATGCACCTGACGCAAAGCCAGGGAACGTGACGTGAAGCTGGGCACGTGATGTAAATTCAGGGTACACTGGGAAAAGCCGAGCACCCGACATAAAGCTGGGCACCTGACGTCAAGTTGGACACATCACACGCCCCCGACGTTTCGTCGCTTTCGGTTTTGTAAGCGGAAGTCTAACACCAAGGTCACGCTCACTCGGAAGGTTCGGGCTGGCTCCTGCCTTACCTCTGCCGAGGCTCGAGGCTGGCTTGGGTTTGAGGCGCGCTGAAGGAAAGGTGGGGGAGGGGAGTGGGGGCTGTGGCGGAACCCCAGGGTGCCCACAACTGTGCCATGGAGAGAGGGACCCGCCTGCCAGTCTGTGGGCCCCGTTTCTGGAAGATCTTGGAAGAACCGCCCTTTCTCGAGCAGTTTCTCGTCTGTTAGGCGGATTTTGAAGCCCCGCCCCTCCCAGCCTCGGGTCCTCCGCGCCTCCTTCCCGCTTGGCCGCCTGCTCTGTGATCTGGCCTCCCCACCAGCTGGGCTTGCAGCTTTTTGTCTTCGTGTGCCAATCCCCGGCATGGCACGTGGGAGAGGCTCGGGTCAGGAACGAATATAGAGCAGAATTTAACTCTGACCCCTCCAAGTTTCAGGTTCTTACACAGGGGGCGTGGGCAAGAGTAGGGGTCGTGGGCAAGAGTAGGGGTCGTGGTGGAACCAGGAGGGTCCTGGGTCAGACTGATGTGTGTGATGAGGGCGGGGTGGGGAAGGTTGGCGACTGACTCCTCCTGGCCCCAGACCGCTCGGTTCCAAGTGGCTTGGGAACAGGGGACTGCCTCTGATTCTACCTTAGCTGCAATACTGATGCCTGTTAGAAAGAGACCAGGCCTCCCTTACGGGTCTCTCTGCGTTAATTAATTAACATGGTGATTGAATTCTCCTCATGGTAGGCACTGAGCTAGGAATTCAGTGGGGCTTATGTTCCAGAGGGGTGGGAGATTCAAAACTACTAGTGCATAGTTGTTTAATTACAGCTATGATAGCTATTATGAAACACAGGCCCCATTGCCCTTGGAAGGTGTAACAAAGCAAGTTTGATGATGAGCCAGAACAGAGCCTGTGCGCCAGGGACTGTGTTCCTGCCAATGGTCTTATTAGAGCAGGGCTTGAACCCAAACTCAACAAGTGTGAGGCCAAACCTTTGCGGGAAGTTGGGCGTTGTGTGACTAATACACTCCCGATAGCAGGGACCTCTGCAAACACCCCCATTTCCCTTCCACCACTCCTTCCCAACTCAGTTCAAACAGGAGTTTCTCAAGCTCCTGTTCTCAAGCACCCATCTCATTTTTCAGATGGGTGAAGTGAGGCCTATAGAAAGGAACTGATTTGCTCTATAGGTCCCAAATTAGTAAGGAGAAGCCAAAGCCAGGCTCCCTGGCACCATGCTCAGCCTGCCCGAGTCCCCACAGTCCATCCTCTGTGATGAGCCAAAAAATGAAAAACAAAGCTGCTCTGTTCACCCAGATTTCTGTTTTCTCCATTGTTCTCCACTAGGGACATTCCTGAATTGGTAAAGAAGGGACTAGCTCAGCCTCTCCTGGCAGTGGATCGGCTATGCTGTGCCTAACCAGAATTGAAAAGTCAGGAGACAGAGTTAGAAGAAGGTTGAGACTTTGAGGACCTCCCACCTGGCTCAGGACCCTGTGATCAGGTCAAAGGAAGAGGGGCACTGTGGGGGTGGGGTGTGCGTGTCGGGGGGTGGGGATGGAAGGAATACAGAGGGACAGCTCCCTTGGAAAGGGAGCAGCTGGAGCAAATTGGATCTTATGTGGGTCCAGGGCAGCATGTGAAAGTGTCTGGGAGGGTGTGGGTGAGGGGAAGGGGAAATGGGAGGAAAGAGAATTAGGCTGGCAGGGAGTGGGGGAAGGGCTTTATGCACAGGGAACAGCAAGTGCAAAGGCATTGCGGCCAACTATCATGTGAGGGAAGGGGTGGGCTCCAGGAATGAGATCCTGGTTCCATGGAGCAAAGAAAGGATCATGAGCATCTTGTCCTGTGAGAGGAGACATTTGTCTTTTCTCTGCCTTAGGCTGAGAAAAGCAGAGAACCCTCCTTTTTCTCCAAAAATGCACATGTCCACTTACGTGCAATATTTTTTTAGTTGTTTTTGCTTTTTTAAATTGTGGTAAAACATATATAACATAGGACTTCCTTGGTGGCTCAGATGGTAAAGAACCTACCTGCAAGGCAGGAGACCCAGGTTTGACCCCTGAGTCAGGAAAGTAGAGAAGGAAATGGCTTCTTACTCCAGTATTCTTATCTGGAGAAATCACGGACAGAGGACCCTGGTGGGCTATACAATCCATGGGGTCATAAAGAATCAGACATGACTGAGCGACTAATACACACACACACACACACACACACACACAAACACAACATAAAACTTACCATTTTTTAAAAGAGTGGTTTTAATGTGGATCATTTTTAAAGTTTTTATTGAATTTGTCACAGTATTGCCTCTGTTGTTTATGTTCTGGTTTTTGGCATGTAGGATTTTAGTATCCCCCCTCCAAATCCTGAATTGGAAGTCAAAGTTTTAACTACTGGATTGCCAGGGCATCCCTAAAAACTACCATTTTAAACATTTTTAAGTGTGCAGCTCATCGATATTAAGCACATTTACAATGTTACATAACCATTATCACTATTTCCAGAACTTTTTCATTATCTCAAACAGAAACTCTGTGCACATTAAACAACTCTTCCTTTCTCCATCTCTCCATCCCCTGGTAACCTCTGTTATACTTTCTAGCTCTAGATTTTGCCTATTCTGGGTCCCTCAATATATATGCAGTTTTTAAAGAATGGTAAAATTGACATGCAATAAACTGCACAAAAGTGCACAACTTGCTAACTTTTGATTATGCACTTCTTCTTGTTTGGCCACTGAGTTGTGTCCAACTCTTTGCAACCCCATGGACTGCAGCACGCCATGCCCCCCTGTCCTTCACTGTCTCCCAGAGTTTGCTCAAATTCATGTTCAATGAGTCAGTGGTGGTATCTAACCATTTCATTCTCTGCCTCTCTCTTCCCCTTTTGCCTGCAGTCTTTCCCGGCATTAGGATCTTTTCCAGTGAGTTGGCTTTTTGCATCAGGTGGCCAAAGTATTGGAGCTTAAGATTCAGCATCAGTCCTTCCAATGAATATACAGGGTTGATTTCCTTTAGGACTGACTGGCTTGATCTCCTTGCAGTCCAAGGGTCTCTCGAGTCTTCTTGCTTACTTCAGCAGCACATATACTAAAATTGGAATAATGCAGAGAAGATTAGCATGGCCCCTGTGCAAGGATGATATGCAAATTCATGAAGTGATCCATATTAAAAAAAAAAAAGTCTTCTTCAGCACCACAATTCAAAAGCATCAATTCTTTGGTGCTCAGCCTTCTTTATGGTCCAACTCCCACATCTGTACATGACTAATGGAAAAACCATAGCTTTGACTCTACAGACCTTTGTTAACAAAGTGATATCTATGCTTTTTAATATGCTGTCTAGGTTTGTCATAGCTTTCCTTCCAAGAAGCAAGCGTCCTTTAATTTCATGGCTTCTGTCACTGTCCACAGTGATTTTGGAGCCCAAGAAAATGAAATCTGTCACTGTTTCCACTTTTTCCTATTCAATTTGCCCTGAATTGATGGGACTGGATTCCATGATCTGAGTTATTTGAATGTTGAGTTTTAAGCCAGCTTTTTCACTCTCCTATCTCACCCTCATCAAGAGGCCCTTTAGTTCCTCTTCACTTTCTGCCATTAGAGTAGTATCACCTGCATATCTGAGGTTGTTGATGTTTCTCCTGGCAATCTGTATTGCAGCTTATATGATTCATCTAGCCCGGCATTTTGCATGATGCACTCTGCATATAAGTTAAATAAGCAGGGTGACAATATGTAGCCTTGACGTACTCCTTTCCTAATTTTGAACAGTCAGTTGTTCCATGTCTGGGTCTAACTGTTGCTTCTTGATCTGCATACAGGTTTCTCAGGAGACAGGTAGGGTGGTCTGGTATATTCTCATCTCTTTCAGAATTTTCCACAGTTTGTTGTGATCCACACAGTCAATGGCTTCAGCATAGTCAATGAAGCAGAAGTAGATGTTTTTCTGGAATCTCCTTACTTTCTCTGTGATCCAACTAATGTTGGCAATTTGATCTCTGGTTCCTGGTAGCTTAAAGGATTTTGAGCATAACCTTACTAGCTTGTGAAATGAGCGTATGGTAAGTTTGAGTATTTTTTGGCATTGCCCTTCTTTGGTATTGGTATGAAAACTGACCTTTTCCAGTCCTGTGGCCACTGCTGAGTTCTCCAAATTTGCTGGCATGTTGAGTGCATCACTTTCACAGCATCATCTTTTAGGATTTGAAATAGCTCAGCTGGAATTCCATCACCTCCACTAGCTTTGTTTGTAGTGATGCTTCATAAGGCCCACTTGACTTCACATTCCAGGATGTCTGGCTCTAAGTGAGTGACCACACCATTCTGGCTATCCAGGTCATTAAGACTACTTTCGTGGAGCTCTTCTGTGTATTCTTGCCATCTCTTCTTAATCTCTTCTTCTTCTGTTAGGTCCTTACTGTTTCTGTCCTTTATCATGCCTATCTTTGCATGAAATGTTCCCTGATATCCCCACTTTTCTTAAAGAGATCTCTAGTCCTTTGCTTTCTACTGTTTTCCTCTATTTCTTTGCATTCTTCATTTAAGATGGCCTTCTTATCTCTCCTTGCTAGTCTCTGGATTTCTGCATTCCGTTGCATTTCCCTTTCTCCCTTGCTTTTCACTTCTCTTCTTTCCTCAGCTGTTTGTAAAGCCTCCTCAGACAACCATTTTGCCTTCTTGCATTTCTTTTTCTTTGAGATGGTTTTGGTCACTGCCTCCTGTACAGTGTTACAGACCTCCGTCCATAGTTCTTCAGGCACTCTGCCTACCAGATCTAATCCCTTGAATCTGTTTGTCACCTCCACTGTATAATCATCAGGGACTGGATTTAGGTCATACTGAATGACCTAGGACTCCCCTGGTGGCTCAGACAGTAAAGAATTCACCTGCAGTGCAGGAGGCCATGTTCGATCCCTGGGTCAGAAAGATTTTCTGGTGAAGGGAATGGCAACCCACTCCAGTATTCTTGACTAGAGAATTACATGGACAAGGGAGCCTGCCAGGGTACAGTCCATAGGGTCACAAAGAGTCAGACATAACTGAGCAACTTACACTTTCACTGAACAGCCTAATGGTTTTCCCTACTTCTTGATTATTCATGCAGTAAGCCAAATAATGCCTATACCCATCACTGCCTAAATTTCCTTGTGTCCTTTTAAATTCCTCTCTCCCCAGAAAACTACTGTCTGCTTTCTGTTCCTGTAGATTAGTTTGTATTTTCTTGAGTTTTAAGTACACGAAATGACACAGTTCATACTCTTTCTTCTGGGTGGTTTGGTTTCTTTCAGCATAATTGTTTTGAGATTCATTCATTCATGCTGTTGGGTGCCTCAGTAATTCATTCTTCTCATAGCTGAGTAGTATTCCC